AGAGAGAGAGAGAGAGAGAGAGAGAGAGAGAGAGAGAGAGAGAGAGAGAGAGAGAGAGAGAGAGAGAGAGAGAGAGAGAGAGAGAGAGTGGCCGAGAGAGAGAGTGCGAGAGTGGCGAAGAGAAACATTTCAAAACTAGCCTAATCGGACCGCCCTAGGAGGACTGATTCATTAAGGCAAAGCAGGTAGCAGACCAAGTACAGATGGACAGGGAACAATCCCATATTGGAGTATCCTATTTTTGAGAGGGCAGACCCAAAGGACGATCCAGTTTTCTTTTTCAAAACGAGGCATCCTCAAAATCTGACCCATAACCGACACTCCAGAACAGAGTCTTTTTAAATAAATAGGAACGATTGGCCCATAAGGAACCGTCAGAGGGCATGGGGAAGAACCAAGGTCAAAAGAGATCCTTGGGGTTGTAGCCATATAGAGGTAAATCTGAATGGAGGCCTCTTATTTTAGTGGCGGACCCAAATGACAACTTCGTTTTTTTAAAAAAAAAAAAAGATCTTCGACCTTCGCCCCATAACGAAAACTGTTGGCCAGAGAACCTTGAGATGAATGGAGACGAATAGCCCATGGAGACGAAACAAAAGGGGTTGGGGGGAAGCCAAGGTGAAAAAAAAAACCTTAGGGTCGTAGCGATACAGAGGTAAAATTGTATGGAGGCCTCCTATTTGAATGGCGGACCCAACAATCTTTTAGATTAGGTATAAATAAATCAATTCAGTTTTCCTTCACCGTATAAGTATATCAGTAATTTTTCTCTTCCCGATAAATGTATATATGTGGGTGTGCGTGTGTGTGTGTGTGTGTGTGTGTGTGCCCCACCCCTGTCCCGCTGGCAAGACCTAGGCTGCAAGGGCAGGTAGCAGGTACCTGCCGAATGCGGCTAGGTACCTGCCAGCTGCCATAACAGTCTTACCGATCGGGACTGGTATGTAAACAACACAGACACAGATCACATACAGGCATTGTTGAGAGAGAGAGAGAGAAAGAAAAGGAAAAGGGGGGAATATGGAGGGAAAAATCCCTTTGCGTATATATATATATATATATATATATATATATATATATATATATATATATATATATGTATATATATTTATGAAAACACATACCTTCAGCTTGCCTTTGGTAGCGTTCACATCAACTCTAGGGGGCATATACAACTCACGAGAGTCAAGGACCTAGTGCACACACGAAAGACACTTCCTAAACAGAAACCCATTAATGACCGTAACATCGATCACCTTTACGATTTCCCTTGCAGCAGTTCCGGGTTCTGAACAAATTAACAAGATAACCGCAATCTGTCCAATCATAATATTGATCGATTGCTGAACATGCCTGTTAAAACCATACTTGACATATTTGCACACAGGAAGGTCAAGCGTCCTGCACTTGTCAAATTTCGCTGTCATAAACTCCCTAGTAGCCTCGGAGGTTACAGTGATTTCAGAGTTGAGAAATTCGGCCTTAAGGCCATAAATTTCCCCTGATTTCTGCATGAGGAAAAGTTCAGTCTGGTTTCTCAACTCGATCAAGTGCATAGGGTATAGATGAAAAATGTTCGACTCATCCAGGGCCAGGTCAGCATAAAAAAACTTCAGAATGGAAGGGTATTGAGGGTATGAAAGTCATCAATATACCTATAGGTATATTTGAACAGGGGAAGCACACCATAGGCTCGGTTGCAAATAATACGCCGGATGAGCTGGTATTCATATCTGAAAAAATAGAGATTACAGAGAGAAGGGGAACAGGGTAGGCCCATAGGGATACCCTTGATCTGCCTCCAAACGACACCGCCCAGGGAGGTGTAACATCTAGATAGTACCCAATCAATCAACTGACATACATTCTCCTTGGATAAAAAAAACATGGAATTGCTCTTCTGGACCGATCTGGAAGTCAGCGAACAAATGACCCGACCATTACTCTTAATTCTGCATTTGATGGAAGTTCCGAGATTTTCCTGCTGTGCTTTTTTCCAAGCAAGGTCGATGAAGAACTGGAACGCAACAGGGAGACCATCCTCATCATGCGAAATGGGTATTGTTTCAAAACAACGCGTGATGTCACCAGAGAAGATCGATAAAACCTTATTCGGGAGGTTGTAACAGTAATCCTGAATAGAGTCGATAGTCCACCAGACCGTAGTATCAATCCCATGGAATGAGCACAAACCGTCGGTTATATCTTTACAGGAGGACTTTACTAAAGGAATAAGGACTTAATAATGTCATCACAGAGGGAAGCCACAGGCGTGAGAAAGGTGTTTGCAGCGTTGGTAAGCCACCTGAAAGTCTTCTTGTGATGCTTATGTAAAGCCATCATGTAAGGGAGTTTCCCCGGACCAAGGCGACTCGGAATGGAGGGAGAAATCTGTGAAAGCGATTCCAGGGCTTTATCCAGGATTTCATCCATGGCAAAGTCGGTTTTCACAAAATCACTTCCAGAGAGACGTTCTAAAGCTAGTTTTCTCACAAGGTGAATACAGGCAAAGGAAGGGGAGTTAGTCGCTTTATCCGTTCCTGAGATAAACAAATTCTTCGTGAGAAAGTTAATTTCCAATCTGACCGGGTGAGAATCGAGTAGATAGGGGGGGTCAGAATGCTTTTTGAGGCCAAGGGAGGCAATTTCCCGTTTGACATTACTTTTGACAAATGCCGTGGCTAGTTTTTCAGCACTAGAAGGGATGAATGTTCTGCTTCACACATGCGCAAGAATCAACTCCCAGGAATTGAGAAAGGACTGGACGGCACGAGGGATCAAGCGAGGGCGATGGGGGATATGGTTCAAGCCTTGGGACAGCAGGTGAGAAACATGTTTATGCTGTGCTACCTCAGGATCAAGGGTGAGGACATGCGACGAAGGTTCAACAAAGGGTTGCGACATATCCCTTATCTTGGGAGAGTGAAATCGCTGAAATCTGGCCAAGTTACATGGGCAACGGGCGGTGCGACTGCAAAAATCCAACCAATCATTCAGAATAAAATCCTTGAACACAAAAGAAGGTCTGTAAACGAACGAATCCAATGATTCATAATAGGTCAAACCAATAACCACAGCTGTCAAGAGGATAACTGCGGCAAGAGAGAAGAATTCCTCAAATGCTTTATCCACAATGGATTTGAACCCAACAGCCTCCATAGCCCTGCTCTCATACTTAGTGTGGACATACAGCTCAGCTCTCTGCTTAGGAGCAGGCAGCCACTTATTTCTGCCATCTTCTCCACGAACAATGCTACCAGCGTCCTTGGACGCCCCCTGTATTTACAAAACTCCAAATTAGAGGCGAAGGGGACATAAGAGGGGAAAACTAGACAATCGTTACCTGTACATCTTCAAACCTATGGCACAGAGAACAAAAAAACGTCAGTCCTAAGGGAGAAACAAGTTCTTGGTCGCTCCGCCAGTCCGACCGCCCCGCTGCAGCTGCTTGCTAGAGGTAGAATTCACGGCGTCCGATTGAAAAGAAAGAGCGGAGCTCGGAGGGGTGGAGGAGGCGGTGAGCTGCCGCGATCCGCCTGTCCGTCGTTCGTCTTCCGACTCAGCCCGCGGCCTAACATAATACGACAACAACGTATTAGCCTGCCTCTTGGGTTGGGGATCCCTACGGTTCTCCTGCTGCTTGCGCTTTGATGGACTCTTGAGGTACCTGTCCGAGAGAATCAGGGAAGCCATCCTCCTGGGAAACTTTATCATCATCAAGACCTCATCGTCAAGGATCCTTTCCTGCCTTCTGGCAGGATTCTCCACCACTTAATGCGCCATTTTGATCATGATGTCCCGCATGTCCGAGAATTTCGCGCGAGATAACCACACTGGCCAAAACCGGAGCTCTCCACGTTTTCTTCAGGAGGCTCCTCATTGCCCTCATCCTTGCTTGGAGGGTTGGGGCTGCCGGGAAGAGAAAATCAGGATTAGCAAGCATGTACCACAACACATGATCAAACCAGGTAATATTGGACTTGCAATCTGCTAACCCTGACTCGAGACAACGACACTTTAGGTAAGGCCTGCCCACGTTCCAGATCCTTTTCAACTCAACTAGGGCAGGCTGGCCTTTTGCTGCATAGAACCCCCTAATCGCTAAAGAAGTGAGAGAGCATGCACACTTCAACAGATCAAACAATCCGACAACAGGGAGTTTCATTGCCTCCGCAGTTCGATGGTACGGGCCCTTGATCAACTCAGAATTCTCATCCAGAGCCCTCCCATGGCAGGTTTCCAGTTCTTCCGGGGTGAGAGAAGCCAGGAGTCTGTAAGTATTAACGCTAATCGAAGCTAAATGATTGAAAGTATCAAAGTCCCAGATCTTGTCTTTGAGCGCCTTAGCTACCGATTCTATCCATCTATGCGGTGCAATAGGAAGGAAAGCATTCCTGAGAAACTTGTTGACATCCTTGATCTTCTCCTTTGCCAAGCCAACAGCCAACTGGGCGCTAGAAGCCTAGAATCAACCAGAAGTTTCTCATGGAAGGCTCTCTCCTCTTCCATGAGGAGAAGATCATCATCAGATTCCGGTTTAGACGCACCAGGATCTAATGCGGCAGAATGGACGAGATCAGAATGAAATTCGGAGGTAGCATTCGACAGATCAATGAGGACTTTCTTCTTCATCATGATCTCGTCCCTAATCGAAGCGTCAACTAACCGGTCATCCTCCTTCATGTCAAGAGCTGCTAACACATACGCCTTAGTCATCTGCGAGAAATACTCCTTATCATACGTGGAGGCGCATACGATGTATGCCCAATCATTGAAAGATAAGACAGAGATGAAAGGGGGATAGGGGTGGGGAACATGAAGAGAGTTCATCTTAACGAACTCCAACACCCTAGGGTGAGCCAACGAAATCAGAGTTTGAGTTGGGCGTGACGGAGGATCAAATTGTCCTATCCATGCCTGCTCCCCTTAGACGAGCTCAAGATACCGACCATTTGGTGAGAAAATAGGCCTCTGCCACATGGCAAACCACAGCAAAGAGTGAGAAATCAAAAGAGCAAAGAAGTTTTTAAATCGAACAAAATCCTCTGCAATATTCATTTCTCTATGCAACACCAAAACTGCACAGAAGTATAATTCCCCAAGCCACCGTACACATCTCGACCAGGTGGAGTTCACCACCCGATTGGCAAACGGGCGGACGCAAGTGTCCAATGAGTGTGTAGTATTGATACTAAACCCCCACACCAAAAAAGGCGCGGCGAGCTGCGACACACCGCATGGCGATTATATACAGCGAGGCAGCTTAGCGTACACTTTGAGATTTTTAAATGCTTTATTCGAGAATATAAGAAGCCGATGAAAAACAGACTGCTCACCAATTGCAAAAGCCAGGAAAGGTCACGAGGAAAGTGATCATCAAACTTTTTTGTTGGGATTAAGACTGAGAGATGCCTAGGAGGCTCAAAAGTAGAGTTTCCGAGGCAAAA